CTGGTGAGATTTTGTCTCGTAATTGACAAGATTACACATTATAATGCTAATGGGCAACAAACGCGATACGCTTTATCGAACGTCTTGTAGCTGGATGTACCTGCGTTTGCAAACCGAGCGAGTTCACTAGTGTTACTGCATACAGTAAGTAAGCCTTCGAAGCCTTCGTATTCTGTTTTTACCTACTTAAAGAGGGTTCAACCATCGACTAACGGCGAACTTATGCTAGTGTTATGTGACGTTATAAAAGAAGCCAAGTTGCCTGACGGTGTCGTTAATATGGTGTTCGGATCCGGTATGTTCATGCGTAGTTTGCAATTGTAATATCACTGGATACTGAATCACATGCAAAAAGGTCCCGAGGTCGGAGAAGCCTTGGTAAATCACCCGAAAGTGCCTTTGATATCTTTTACGGGAGGTATGTTGTAAATACATGCACTACCGCAAAACATGCTCAAGTAGAATCGCCAACAGTATCGCTTCTTTCTCTGTGAAGGAACCGTGACAGGACAAAAGATCATAGCCAATAGCGCCAAACACTTTAAGAAATTATCCTTGGAACTTGGTAGGTATGAAAACGTGATGATGTGTTTGTATTTGATAATGTTGTTCATATATCGCGCGCCTGTTACTCAATATTAGGTGGCAAGAATGCAAACATTGTATTTGATGATTGCAATTTCGACAAAGCTATTGAAGGCAGTATCCGGGCAGCTTTTAGTAATCAGGGAGAGGTGAGCCCATTGACCAATTGCTCGTTCAAGGGGGAGGGGGATGGCTTTAATTAGTTTTCGCAATTTATTTCGCAATTTATTTCGCAATTTATTTCGCAATTTATTTCGCAATTTATTTCGCATCACTCTTTGCGCATACGCATTCTCACTCTTCTGACGCGTTTCACAGATCTGCCTCTGTGGTTCACGAATATTTGTTCATTCTTCGATATACTCGCAGTTTCTTGACGCGTTTGTTGAGAAAGCAAAAGCCCTAATTGTCGGTGACCCAGCCGATAGTAAAACGCAAGTTGGGGCATTGAATTCCGAGCAACATATGCAAAAGGTTTTGGGTTATATCGAACTAGCAAAGGAAGAAGGGGGAAACATCGTTTGTGGGGGTAAGAGAAAAGTTTTCGAGGGGGAGTTAAAGGATGGATATTTCGTGGAACCGACTGTCATCACTGGGTGAGTAGAGCGTGACGTGAGATTGGGGAGAGAGATGAAACCAATTGTGGAGGAGAACAGTAAAAATTGTATGATTCGATGCATATTAGGTTGCCTCCGACGTGTCGAGTAGCACAAGAAGAAATATTTGGACCCGTATGGTTCTTTGCATCATTTTTGCTTCATTTCCACTACATTCTCTGCACATGCAACTCTTTAAATCTTTGACCCTACTCACAGGTAGTAACCATACACCAATTTACAACGGCGGATGAAGCCATATCATTTGCCAATGATTCACAATACGGTTTAAGCTGCTCAATCTGGACAGAAAACATCCGCCGAGCGCGTCAAGTTGCAGAGACAGTTCAAGTAGGAACCGTATGGGTGAACTGCTGGATGCTTCGTGATCTGAGAATGCCATTTGGGGGATCGAAAAAGAGTGGTGAGTAAATACTGGATTTGAAATATGCAAATGGCGTAGTAGATATTAAATGCTGTGCATCGGTTTTAATTGATTAGGGCTTGGTCGCGAAGGCGCAGACTACAGTCTAGACTTCTATACGGAATCCAAGACCATCTGTTTAGCTAATTAGATAGCGAATATCCGATGTTTTAATTCTTCTCGCTATGACTAATCCCATTTAAATTCATTATTAAGCCGCCTTGAATTAGTAATTCAACTGCGGAAGATGACTAAATATCTGTTAACATTCACGTGCTTCGAAACAGTTTCGCTCCTTAAATTAGTTATTCCACCAATCATCTGTCAATATAGTGTAATACAAATAGGATCCGCAGTGAATACGCAGCAAGATTGTTACTGCGTCACAAATCTCGTGATTTATATAAATAAACACGCCTGAGAACTTCTTCAAGGCTATTCAACAAAAGGATCCTCCAGAACATCTCTATAAAAGGGGTTCCCCAGTCAAGACTGAAACATAAGCTTTCCATAAAACTCTCACATAGCTTTCTTCAAATAACAATGTTCAGTTCTGGATTTGGGTTCGGCGGCGGCGCCAGTCAGGGAGGAGGCTTTAGTGGATTTGGTAGGTTTTTTTTCCTGAAACACGCGTAATTGAAGATAGAAGCATCAAAATAGCGTTATCAGTGTTTTAACTATAATTCATTCTTCTAGGTGGATTTGGGAACCAGACTTCTAGTCAACCGAGTTTTGGATTTGGAGGAGCAGCAACGACTGCTTCTAGCAGTGGCTTTGGCTTTGGAGGTAAGTGTTTAGGGATCAAGGAAGAACGTACAAGTGAGAGACGATGATGTTTGCTGCTTTGGACACTGTTTATGGCTATGCTTGCAGTAGTGTTCTCTGGTACCGCCTGCAGTAATGTATGCGGTGGCAGTAGTTAGCTTCTTGACATTCATAGCATTATACTTGTTCAGCTAGCGGTAGTGGAGGAATGTTTGGTCAGAGTAGTGGCTTTGGTGGTATGTGGCTCCTGTATTGGTCATGATATTTAATAAAGAGTCTATTCCGAGTAGAATAAGGAGTGTGATCTGCCTAATAGCGTAATAATTGATGTATAGACTTGTGAAAAGATTGAATTGTTATTTACAAATACGAATTCTTTTCACCTGAATACATCGACTGAGATCGGATACGATTGAGCTTATTGCATAACGTTATCGCATGGCTGAGTTGAAGATGAATTTATTATCCTCGGATAAAGTTACGACATGCAATAGCAGATCAGTGATCACTCTTCTTTCGATCCAACCTCCGCGCGCGGGCAATAAATTTGATCGAATGAGCTATGTTGATGACACAGTCGTTTATGCTATTCTATTCGGAATTACTCGGCTGGTTAGATAGGAACTTGTATTGTTTTTTGCATACGTTTTAACGCCATCATATTTATTTACCAGGACTTGGTTCATCATCGACTGCATCGAAAATGCTACCACAGTTGCCTGCCCAGGGAACAGCTCAACCTCCGTTTACCACTACTTCTGAGCGAGATTCACAATATGGCGTAATAAATCTATTCCATACTATTAGTGCAATGCCCGCGTACAAGAACTTTACATTCGAGGTAAGTATGGATGTAGTCGGTTACTTGTTGTGATGCTGATTATAACTTGCATATATAGATTATATTCTAATGGCGTACTTGTCTTGTTTACTCCCATCTTTATTAAATAGGAACTACGTTTGCGAGATTACGAGTTGGGTCGCAAACCAGCTACAAATAATTCAACCGCTTTTGGCGCATCACAACCGAGTGGATTTGGCGTTCCTCCATCACAACCTGCTGCACCCTCATTCGGAACACCAGCACCAACGTTTGGTGGTGGTGGCTTTGGTGGATTTGGGCAATCAACAAAGTCCACTGGATTTGGATATGGAGCTTCGACAGGATTATTCAACACTCCAGCTGTAACACCAACGCCAACGCCGTTCGGAGCTGCAGCAACACCGACACCAGCATTTGGCACGACAGCAACGCCGTTTGGTGGACAGACGCAAAAGTCATTCGGTTTTGGAGCTGGAAATGCGTTTGGGACCACACCTAGTGCAGGAGGGTTTGGAACAAGTAGTAAGTATTATAATCATGGATAAGGCATTATTTATAGTGAATGATCGATGACAGTTATTATAAAAGATTGGTTAAAATAGCTGTGTATTATTAGCACATTATACTCGTTTTGTTACGTGTTATTCTATTAGCTCTAACTTTTTTCGCTTGCATTTTACTATCAGACCTGTTCGGCAATACGAGTACATCATCAGTGTCTTTATTTAATAAATCTACGTCGTCTACACCATCCTTTGGCGGATTCGGTCAGAGTTCCCAATCTAGTAGTGGATTTGGGTTTGGAAACACACAAACGTCATCAACTCCCTCATTGAGCTTTGGATTCAGTAAGTTTAAATAGAACGTTAATTTACAATGATTTCGCTATAGGCAACTTTAATTTAACGTATCGATATTTTATTATGTGATGTCATCAACTTTATTATTAACTTTTGACTTACTAATATTTTTACAGACAAGCCTGCGACCACATCTGCATTTGGTGGATTATCAAGTTCAGTAGGTGGTAAGATTAATTTTCATGTATCAGGCGGTCGTGCTATAAATGGGACTGACCATTGAGTCACTACTTCTTTATTGTTCGTTTAGAAAAATGACATGTATCAAATATACTAACCAATAACTTTTCTGTCTAGGTTTTGGTGGTTCTTTCGGTGGTTTAACCTCCAGCAAACCAACTTTTCCAACCTTAAGCACACCAGGTAGGATATTTCTGGTCAACATGGGTGACCTGGCATTTGATGTTCCAATATTCGAATCTAATCTATCTGAAATTTTT